CTCAACTTGGCCAAATCCTAAAAGACACACTGCGTCTATGTGTATGTCGTTGGACTCAGGCAAGTCTCGTGTTTTAACACAGGATAAGTGACTCGTAAGGGTCCAGCGGCAAGTTGACATGGATAAATCGTAGTCAACTCGCTGAATTTTCAAACAAACCTCATACCAGAATAGCAACACTCATCGTGATGCCTGTCCATTTCAATAAAGAAAGGACCCAAAAAAGGGAGTAGTGCAATAAAATACATGCAATCAATCAAAGCACCACAAAACAAGCAAACAAATAGACATCCTAGGGGAGGCAATATCAAAAATCATAGGAAATGCTTTTACTTCCCTAGGAAATCTAGGAAGATGCACGTTCTTCCTTTTTTGCTTATTTTCTTCAAATTTTCTAAAAACTTTGATTTGAAGTGTTTGGGTAATTGAACTACACAAGGATATTTAGCTAATTATTTTGGAAATAATTTAGGAGCCAGGAAGAAATAAAATCATCCTGTGTGCATGGTATAGAGAGAAGACATCCCTGGACATTTTTCTATAATCATGTAGACTAGGCATTATAAGGTCCTACTTTAGAGAGATTTTCTATTGGACAGAAGTGGTGAATGTGTGCTGGTGACTTCTGAGGCCACCATTATCGTATTCTAGTAAATGCACCCCATATTTTTTCCAAGACAAATGTACCCCAAAGAAATTTATTCCAAAAAATGCACTCTAGGGGAATTTCTTCCAACAAAATGAGGTGCCCCAATAGATTCTCTACCAAAGCTCAAGAGGGTGGCATTCGCACTCCGAACATTAACACTCCCCATGCCAATGCCTAGCTGTATCCTAATAAATAATCATCATGTCAAGTCCTAGGTGACTCCTCGTAATAAATCATCAGCCTCGCATATGATCTAAAGATGCCTATTTCACACAATAAATATGTATCACCCGACACTGTCTAGCAGACAATGTATGGCTGCTCATCCTCTTGCCTAGATTCCAAGCACTCACAGGTAATCAACTTACATACCTGAATCCATCCAATGTTGAAAGAAGTGCGCCCAGGGGCTGTATAACAGCCTAGACGTGATGCAAGCACTCCGTTGAGGTGGCCCACAAACACTTGTGGGTGTATGAGTGTTAGTGTGTTTCTATATATATAATTGAAATCACATTTCACCATTGAATCACATTTCACAATTGTAAACCAGTAAATGTAAGATTAAACTAACACCTACAAAAGGTAAACGATAATAGCAAAAGCATACTCAAAATCTTCTAGATTTTGAATATTTGCATCAAAACTATCTAGCAAACAATGTACGGTTTCTTACAGTCCTGTCTAGATTCCAGGCACTCACAGGAAGTCAATTTAAGTTCCTGAATCCATCTGGTGTTGAAAAACGTGTAAGGCACTGCCTAGGATCCCAGGGAGTGTCTCACAGCCTAGACTTGATGTGGGCGACTCAGTTTTGAGGTGCCCCACACACTTATATATGCAAATATGTGGGCTTGTGTGTGTATGAAAAATTGAAATCACATTTCACCATTGAATCACATTTCACAATTGTAAATCAGTTAGGGTATGTTTAATTCAAGTGAAAATACATGTCATACGAAACTTGCAGTATGCATGTTTGGTTTGCAAAATACACGTGAAAATACATCCCATAAGAAAAAATTTACCACACACTAGCCCAATCCACATGAAAGCAGTTCCTCAACTCAATAGATGTATAGCAACTTCCCATAAAACCAATTCAGCAGATTGATTTTTAACATTAAAATCCCCCCCAATCTTTGACAGGTCGGCCCGAATGAGTGACTCTCCCGTCATTCTCAAATCCTCATTCAAATAGGACTAGTGATGGCCTGACTTAGGACCAAGCCAGCCTTAGCCCAATTCAAGCCCCTATAGGGCCACCATGGAATGAGCCGAAGGGGCCCTGATCCGGTCCAGGGCAGGGCGGCCCTATCATGGCCCTGACCTTGGCCTGGCCCTCAGGCCCTTGTTTCTCATGGCCAGGCCAACCCGCCTGGACCCGACCCGGCCCTTGTTTCTCCCTTACTCTCAAAACCCTCGTCTAGCACTCTCCAGGGGCTGCTAATCAGCTGGGCGACCATGGCCCTAGGCCAGGTCCGACTAGGTTCAGCGCGGCCCAGTCCTTTTTTCTTTATTTTTTTCTCTTGCTTTTATATTTTTATTGTAGTTGGCCCGGCCCGGCCCAACCTGATCTGGACCTGGGCGAGCTTGGGTCAGTCGTATGGATGATAGGGTTAGGGCTGGCCTAGCCCAGGCCCGGTCAGTTGCCAGCCCTACACTCTCATAGCATCTCTGTTCTTTTCTCTCACACACCAAACATACGAAATTGATTATACAGGGTTTTCCATACGTGTTTACCAAACATAGGAAAAAAACAGGCTTGAGAAACTCTTTCTTGTAAATTGATTGCATATGCAAATAGTTTTACATCACCAACCTATTTCAAGCAAACTAAACATACCCTAAATGTAAGATTTAAAGAACATCTACAAAGCGTAAACGATAATAGCAATAACATATTCAAAATCTTCTCAATTGAGAAGAGTTCTCAAACTCCTTGAGTTTTTTTCATCTAAAAATAATTTGAAAAATCGTCAAAAATTAGTGTTCTTTTACTCTCAAAATAGGCTTTAAAATAGCATGGGAGAGTTAATACACCCCCTTCCTGTCCCCCTGTACCTGGCCCAATCCCCTCCTAATGTTTTTTTCCCTTAAAAAGGGGAGAAAAGACACTTTTCTCCATGGCCTGTGAGAAATTTCCACCCACAGGCCATGGGCAACCAACGTGGGAGCCTCAGCTGAGGGATGATGCGCCCACCTAGGAGGCTCGCATCGGCCTAAGCAGGGCCTTTAGGCACCCATCCCAGATCAATGTGCACCCATCCCAGATCAATGTGGCTGCCTAGTCATGATGCAGACAGCTTTTTATATTGGGTACAATCTACCTCTAGTAGAAGCACCACAGCATGGAGATACAATATGTCCTGTCACCATTTGATGTCACCATTTGATGTCACTGACACATGAATCACAATTTGGTTATCATTATTTAGATATTTAACCAGGCCGCCAAATCGAACTCGGTCCTTTATTAAATGCAGCACAATTGCAACTTCTTCATCAGAACTGCTATGGACTGGGTTTTGTGACTAGCTATAAGAATTGTTAAAGAGCTTCTGCCTGTTCTAGGATACTGGTATTCTCAAGCAATATGGGTAACAAATATCTACACCAGTGGATGCTTGTGGGCTCCAAATGGGGACTCATGATAGTGAACCAGAAGGGGACTTGCCTAGGGGACTCGTCATAAAGATAGGTATTTAATCACATCTAAACATTCCGGAATCAAGGGCCATAATAAAAACAGGTAGGTAAACTTAGTGTTTGGACAAACTTTCATGCAGGCAGCTTCTCTAGGATGTAGCTTTTCACGCAGATGTCCAATTGAGGTGGTCTGAAATTTGAACAGCTATTGAAGATCAACGAGTATTATTTCTATGCCATTCCAGTAATCAGATGTTTCGTGCTTCAATTCATGGTCAAAAGCCTGTTGAGAAAATTATTGAAGAGTTTTAGAGCTAATTTTTTCTTTTTATATTCAGGGTATAGTTTCCTATTTTGAGAACTAGGTTTAGTTCCCTTTGTTTTGTTATTAAATAGGAGCTTGCTTTCCTAAGTATAAAGGTCACCTTTCCTAATCCTTGAAAGTTGATTTCTTAGGGAAATCTAGAATTTCTTGGATTCTAGGCTCAGCTAGAATATATAATATGGAGCTATTATAAATAAGAATCTAGACTTATGGAAAAGAGTAGTTAATGGATAATAAAGATTGTTCCTTTCATTTGGTGGTGGTGAATTATCAGCTGGAGTAGAGATGTTCCTCATTCTTTAGAGGAGTGATTCGTCTATCCTTTTGTGATGAAATGCTGTAACACCTATTTTGTTGCAGACATTTCACTCGAATTAATGACCCCTTCTCCATCTGTCAGCCACAAGCCCCTTCATCATTTTTCTTCCCAATCGGGCCATATCCAAAGACCAGCCTCTTTCAGTTCACTTCCATAACCTAAAACCCTAACTGAAACCATCTATCAGAACCAGCTCTTATTCATCCCTTCTATCCATCTTCAATATCAAACCCAACCACCCCTTATCTAGCTAAACCTTGACTTTCATAATCCAAACCTCCATGCCATCTCTACCAAACCAAGCCTGCTAAAATCAGCAACCCTCTTCATTGCACTGTAGCCAACAACCCCTTGCAACACCATCCAAAATGCTAGCTTTAGTTCCTCTAAACTCTTCCAACCCCAACCATGATCCTTTAACCTAGCGCATACACCCTTACTATTTTTGTAGGAGTCAAGCTTCTTGGTCATTCATCAATCTTCGAATGACAAAACCTTGTCCTCCCTTATACAAACTGCACGTTGTAACACTGATCAAATCCCAAGGGAGCCAAAAGGCATGCAAGTGGGTTATATATAGCAAGAAAACCATGCAAAGCAAAATGAGGGACGCCATCATAGAAAATATCTTTGCCCATATTAATGTTTCGAGTATTAAGAGGTCAGCGTCAACCAAGTAGAGAATGCCCGTGTCAGTGTCAGCCAAGTAGAGTATGCCCTGTAATAGTGACATAGGAACACCGCAGTTCAAACTTAATGACAGAACAAAAAAGAAAATGCAGACTTGTGGTATCTGGTAATTCATGAACAATATACCCAAACACAAATCAGAAGTTACAAACTTTCAAAATCAATGAAATCCAAAAGACCATGCAATCCTAAACTTACCATCATGGAGATACTTGTATCTACAACCATGAAATAAATAAGAAAAACTAGATACCAAATTCTTTATAGACAATAATAAAGACATGTAAGAAGTCAAATACAAGAAAATGACCCCACTTAGATAATGCATGAATTAAGAGGTGAAGAAAACATTATATGAGAAAATGCACCTTTATGTTTGTGTGTCCTGTAAATGTTTGCACAGGACTTTCAATTACCCTGGAAGTGTTCATGGACAAATCCCAAAGCTTTAAAGTGCTATCTGTGGATGCAGAAACGAGGGTCGTTGAATCGATGAACTTGATGTAACTCACAGTCTTTGTGTGGCCAATCAATGTGCACCAAGGCATCTTTGTGTTGCGGAGATCGTAACAGTAGACCTTATGATCTGCTGAGCCAATAGCAAGTGAACGCGAAGAATCAGGAGCGAACTGAACACAACACACATTGGCCTTTGTCTTGATGGTACCAACACTTCCCCCCTGTATATTATTAATCCTAATGTAAGATAAAAAGCATGTCATGCTTCTATACTGAAAAGAGTAAACATGATAGCAATAATAGCAGTACGTTTAGTTTCAAAGCTGACATCCACCAAGTGCAAGAATAGAATTGCCTGATTGATATTCCATAGCTTAACAGCACCATCATCACTTCCGCTGGCCAACCTTGTTGGATCAGCTTGCGAAAAATCAACAGACCAAACACGCCTCTCATGCTCCCTTAGATCCATAAAAACTTGGCTTCTTGCCACATCCCAAACCTACAGGATACCCAGAAGATACAAACTTACTTTTGAAATTTTTTAACCAAGCAAACAAGGTAAAAGTGACAAAAAGCTGAAAACTGAAAGGAAATTCAAGCTGATGTACCTGTACAATGCCTTCAAAATCACTTGAAGCCATCTGGCTTTTGATATAACTATTCCAACAAATACTGCTGAGTTTTGACCTACTAGCCATTTCTATTACAGGGTAATGAATATCAAGATCTTCATTAAGAATCATATCACATTCAAAGACCTTAATTTTTCGGTTTACACCTGCTGTTGCGAAGAATTCCTTGTCCCGGTCAAATCCAAGGGAGCATACCAAATTCGATGAGTTGAGCAAGTCCCCTTGTTTGAGGTCAGCTCTTACCCTTAACTTGCTGAAAGCTAGATGCTTGCACAATCCATCCAGAAATGGATTTATCCACCCAATTCTTCTTCCTTCACCCTGGTTTTCCTTGGAAGCCAAATTATCCACTGAACTATACGTACTACCTTCAGTTCTTGCATCTATTCCTCGCCCACTGCCACTTCCTGGTAAACTTTTATTCCGTGTCTGCCCTGCTGGTTTGGTTGGTCCGCACCTTGTTGAGAAATAGGCAGCTTCCAATTTTTTAAAGTTTCTCATCAGTCGAGAACATTTGGATGTTATACTCTCATGATTCTCAGAGTTCTCTTCAATGTTCTTACATTCAACTGAGCAGCTGGGGATTTCCTCTTCCTGTTGCATAATCATCCCAGGTTTAAAACGTTTTCTAGAGCCCAAGCTGGTTGAATCATTATATTTAACAGGATATTGTACAGGTTCTTTCAACTGTTCCAAATCTAGATTTAACTGTAAGCTAGAGCTCCTTTTTAGCTTGAGGGATGATTGCTGCCTTTGAACTTCTTCAATGTCAGATGACAAGCAACATATAACATCATGCAACTTATCAGCAGTCCCTTGTTTCCTTTGTTGCATCTGCAAAAGAAACTCCAGCAACAATTCCTGCTCCTCTATTTCATCTTTTAGCTTAATTGCAGCTTGGCGATCTTCCAAATTATCCCTTGGTTCATTGAGAAACTCACTTTGTAAGACTTCACTACAATATGAGAACCAATAGCTGAGATTAGAGCCTTTGACATGTATTGACCAAAACCATCATACTACAATCTTGGATACCGTGTACTTAATTTTGTCTCAGTGATTCCCAGCGAAGTTATTTCCCAGAACAAATATTAACAGTTGAAGAAATAAATAGCATATTTAGGTTGGAAAAGGGAACTTATGAGCAAAATCATTATCGGCTTTCTGTAAGTGAAATAACAATCAAAAAAATAAGATGTCCAAAGGCAATATAAAGGATGGTACTAGTTTGATAAGATCAAATACAACTATGAAAATGTTAAAAAAGTACAACAATACTGAGTTAAGAACAATCATGTATCTGCATATGTGGGCTCAATATAGATACAAATTATTAAGTTTTTCCTTTCTTTTGTTCAGCTCTTATAAGTTAAAAATCGCTACTTATAGGAAGGCAAAAATACATAATAAAACAGAAAAAAGTAAGAAGTTTCTTCTCCAAATTAAAGAACATATTCTGGCATGTGGGATTAGGAATAAAAATGAATGAATACTCAAATACATTTAAATAAGCACCACAGAAACACATACCGCATAATGGAATACCTTGTACAATTGAGAAGAGCAAGAAAGCATTCATGCTTCAACTCAAAATAAATATCCAAGGATTAGGATTAATCTTCTTTGCTTCTTTTCTCACAAGCAGTGTTTTTCTAGATAACCAACAAAAAAAGGGAAGAAAGCCCAAACATTTTCTAAAGAAACAAGTCGAACAAGTGATATAAATATGATCCAAGGATGTAGGACCATGAGGAATCCCACCAGTTCTCATGCTAGATGCATCGACAAGTTCTATAAAGAATGCTTATTGATCCAAAACAAAATCCATTTTCACACCTGCTATAAATGGTGACGTAAAAACATAGGCAGTTGTTCGTTGATACACAATTTAGATATATGTATTCTGCAAATCAAGGTTTGAACTAATTGTTAGGGTTATGTGGCCATTCATAGGCCATATGAGAGCGTAAAACAATGACTATAGTGATGTGATAACTCCAGCGGGAGTACGGTTCAGTGGAACGAAAAGATTACGATCCGGTGGGACCAAAGGAGGTATTTTTTATGTTGTGACTCAACTGGGTTTAACGAGCTACCACTGTGTTGATGTCTAAAGAACTAGCCCTGGGTTATGGCACAACTTATAAAGATTTGTAGGATCATACCTTGATGAGGTCGGAGAAATGCCGAGGGTGGTTGGCCAAGGGATTGTATGACCCTTGTGTGCATTGGTTAGCTTGAAGGGACAAGACCCAAAATCCTCATCATTGCCATCGCACGGCCTGTACACTAGATAGTTGTCCTTGGAAGCAACATGTTGGGGAATGTCGTGTACATGTGCCAAAGAAATTACGCTCATGCACCATTGTGACCTACTTGTCCTCTGGGATAGTGTGCAAAATGGGACCTAAAATTGTCCTCAATGGGGAACCTGAAATCCATGGGCAAGAGCCATGTTCTCTTCATTTATTGGCCAACTTAGATAGACCAATCATGAGCCCCTGTGGCAGGTTGTGGGCCATCTGGTGAGTTATTTTGAGAAGATGACCGCAGTTCATGGTGGTTAGCATAGATGGAGAGCAGCGGTGAATTCTCATAATCCTTGACCCGCAGGATGCAATTTCCATTTAATTATATTTAGATATGTTTTATTTGAATTATAGAAGATTAAAATGAATTTTTAAAATTCAATGCATTTTTTACTTTCTAAAAAAACTTGATAACTAAAAATCAATTTTTTTTGGCTTTGTAAATTCAGAGCAATTTTTAAAATATCAAATGAATTCTAAAGATCATTTTATTTATTTGGGATCATTTCCCAGAGAAAGAGTAATTTGAATCAATATTTCAGATATCCGGTACTCTATATGAAATATACCAAAGCAAATATAGGCAAGACAGACTAGAGCAATGTTGTATCAAACTATTTGTCTCCTTGTAGTTGGATCTCTTAGTTTTTGGAATGCTCCAAATTCTACTTGGGCATCCAAATCCAGGTCTTGTTTCGAGGGCCCCCACCCCAGCTCTAGGCTAGGTATAGGTCTCTCTAGAAGTGGGTTGGCGGATAAAGGGGAGTGGAGGCAGGCCCTTTCCACTGTTCGCATCTCTGTTCCAAACTATAAACTAACGACGAGTACACCTTCATCCAATGTGGTCTACTCTCATTTATTTCGATCCCGCAGCTAGTACACTCCACATATTCTTGTACAGTCAAGGGGGGACAATTTCGTGAAAGATTAAGATCAGTAAATGGAAAACTACTTATTTTTATCCTTGTAAGATTGTCAATATGGTACCGAGGATGTATTTAGCGTATACCGAATCAGTATAGCCATCCTTCCTCCGACACAACAATTCAGTTTCGATCAAAAAAAATATTTGGGGTACGTGGGGGGCCATTTAGAATAGGGCCCACGACATAGAGGCCCACTTTAGTAGGGCATGGGCCCCAATTAGCTCCCATAGGACCTCCACGCCCCACATTGATTCAAATTTGAGAAAGTTGCTCTATAACTTGGGATTTTTGGAAACTACATCATATTTTCCTTAAAACTAATATTTGATGAGAATGGTCAAGGAAACCGAGGGATAATGATTCCAAAACCTTCCCTTTATATGAAAGGCTGATTTAGAGTATGGTTGGCTGATATCTCTTCACCCCACAGGTCTCCTTAGATCGACAGTCAAGATTAAGTCCCAATAAGATGGCCTCTAGATACAATTCTCTACACTTCTCACTCAACTCTCTAGGGCTGCACACCCCCCCTCTCTCTCTCTTTCTCTCTCTTCCATCTTTTCTCCCCCCAAGGGTCTCAAGGGGTGCCACACCCAAGTAGAGAATAAAAGGGTGACACGCTCAAAGTTGTATGACCTAGGAAGAGAGTGGGCCTATTCCATGGTTACGCTTTGGTTATGCTCTCATGCTTTAGATCTGGGTTTGCCTAGGCTTCTCATTGTGTGAGACAAAGTGAAAAGACATCGATCTCGCACCACCATTATCTACCTTTCACTAATTAGCGTTGGAAATTTGGAACCACAAAGTTACCATTATCAAAAAAAATAAAAATTTGGAACTACACTTAAGCATACTAAAGAAAAGGATCAGAAAATTTGCTAAAGTACTGAGAAAATGGAATTCTCTGCAGGATAAGATGAAGAACAACCCATATAAGACACAAAAATTAATATAATTCTACATTTTATGAAAATCAAAGAGTTGTCTAGCCTATTTGCTAAAAAGTTAGCTTCCTTGAGCGAGTGTCTAAACTCCGAAACCTTTATATCCTTAGTATCCTTACTTCTCCTACGATCTACATATTGACATCTATTTACAACTTCAGAGACTACTAATTCAAAAACCCCAGGGCTTTCATGTGATTATGTTGTCCATTATAATTGCAACAACTATTTCATAATCCATCCACCCTGGAATGGGGGATAGTAAGCAAAGGGTTTAGGTGACAAGGGAGCGTCTGCAGCATATTTGCAACTTGCCAAACAGGATATTGGTATTATTAGACGAGAGTGAGCCCAGTTTTTGGAGAGAAGAAAGACATTGCCTTACAAAAGAGCTATAGTTTGTCATTGAGAAAGAGGACAATGGTTAACAGCTCCCATTCTCATTGAAAAAGCACAGGAATATGGTGACTGTAAAGTACAGTAGAAGAATAGCAACAAGCCATTCTATGTGAAAATTAACCATATTAAGGTTACCTTACCTGATCTCCAGATTTACTTCATTTCTCTCATGTTTTAATCGAACTTCAGAGTCTAGAAAGCTAGAAACAAGAGTAATTACATAGATATAATAGTAAGGCACAAACAAATGGACATGTTTGGGATGTCCTGTTCCCTTCCAAAGTCCTCACATTTGCACAAAGTTCTAAGCCACACTCATCACAACTATTAACAACAAGAACATCACCTTTTCTTTATTAATATTACCTTTGGTATGAGGGTTTAGGACCTCTTTTAACCTTGTTTGCATTGCTATATCCTTGATTATGTTCGTTGTGACTTGTGTTGACAACCATCAGGTGACCATACTACTAATTTCATAGAAAGAAGACGAGTATTTCGAGGAATAAGCAAATATAAGAATTTTCCCATTGACCCAATAGAGGGATGATTAAGGATAGAACTATTGTGCTGTGTGCCACCAGCACATCTTTAGCATGAATCAAACTAGAGTTCATGTACATGATTCGATCCGAAACTAGAGGACCAAGATGTTGAATGAAGCTAAACATTGAAGTCCAAAAGCCTATTAATTAATCAAATGGTGTGCATGCTGAAGTTTAACTTTGATGGTGGGTTGAGCAAAGTTAACAATTGAAATTTCAAAAAGGCAATTAGTGAATGAGTTGAGTACAGCACCAAAGTAAAACTTCATTCGTGAGTCATCCAGGAACCATGTCCATCTATAGCAGGGGTATGGCCAGAAATATCAAAAGTTTGGTCTAGGATGTGAGATCCCTAGGAAATTGAGAGAAAATCACTACTGTGAGCCATCTCTTCAAATTTCTCCACACCCCTCATGATCAAGGGGGGTTTGACCCGTGTTTTCAGATGAGCGGAATGCACGGGAGAACAACTTTTGAGGGTTGCCAATCCATAAGAGGAAATCATCATGATCTTTGATTCGATGGAGAGCTACTGGGCAAGTCCGTAGACATTGCTAACAAATTTGTGGACATTCTTCCTCCTATGAACGAGCCTTACAAAGTGAAAGGCATTGCTAATACTGGACTAGCATAAATCTTGAAAAAACATATTGTAACCTATTTTATATTTTCCACTCATGGATAAAATGATAGCTATAATAATAATAAAAAGAAAAAAAGAAAAAAAACTCAAGCTCACCTCATTTTGGGTCTGGTATTTGGCTGAGGATGCAACAACCACAAACAAAAGGAAGCTTCCTTAGGCCACTTTAGCAACAATTGAGGGGGTAGAACACGATGCCGGAGATTAGACATCGTTCTGAGCTTCTCCTCCTCTGAGTTAAATGGGCAGAATAACTAGCAAAATTGAAAACCACAAAATTATGAAAGAAACATGTTTCTCCTGTCAATCTTAATCACAACAACTTACAACAAACAGACACATTCAATGCAATGCAAAGTTTGGGATTCCTAATTCGAGCTTCCTCGTCGATTAAGTAAACAAGTAATTTCTTTGCAACTCTAAATTACAAAAATAAAAATAAAAATAATTCTTTTCATCTCCATAGAACACTTAGTACCTCAAAAAGAAGGACTCCCAATCGGTACACATCCGAAGAAAATGAACCTGTTGCACCAGAAACCTCCTCAGGACTGTTGTACCAATTGATTTCCATAAGTAATATCTGCTTCAATGGAAATGGGTTCTTCTGTTCCTCAACTTCCTCCTCCATATTAGTATCCTTCACTTTTAACTTCTCGGCATCTTTTATAGAAGAAACACGTGTGGCAAGAGCAGAAGGCGATTGTAAGCAACTTGCTGTACCAGCTTGAGACCTACAAGCATCACTACCAATATTACCATTAATGACTGAAATCCCAGATACCCTTTGGAAATCTTCCCTCACAGAATTGTGAAGCTGTGGGGATTCAGCACTGCCTGATGTGCTTCTATTGTGAAGTAAGCTATTGGGAAAAGGTGAAGATGAACTTTGATCACGATAACTAGGCTTGGAATCACTCTTCAATTCATCAGCTGTGATCTTTGTGCAATGCTCAATAGAGTCCGAGCCCGAACTTGAACAAGAAGCTGATTCTATAAAGGAAACACGATTGAAGGAGGACATAAGGAAACACGAAGGCCGTACATTTTGAACTACAATCCCATTTGAGTGTGCAATATTCACCGTTTCCACAATCTGTCTGAATATATGAAGGCATTCTAAGATGTTCACCGACCTCTCTGGCTTATCAAGCCAGTGTCTTAAGCTTATATCACCCGATTCAAGACCACCCATATTAGGAGAGTTATTTGCTTCTGGTCCATCGCCACAAACCCTAGAAGAGCCTACCAGATTATTGAAATTATCTGTACTCGATAAAACGAACCGCTTCTGATTAGCCTGAACCCAATCTGTATTGTTCGAAGCATCTCTAGAAATGCCCACACTCGAGAAAGTGCAATCATTAAGCCCCCTAGAAACAGATTTCTCCCAATTCAAATCCGCAGAACCCTCCATTCATAAGGTATTCAAAAACCGGGTACCCGAACTAACACTGGCCATGCTACAGATTCTCCAAGTCACCATTATTTGAAGATACCAAGAAGAATTAGGATATTGGATAGAATCCTCATCCAAGTACACCATTAGACCCACCTCGCGAAAATTAGCCCAAACACATTCTCTCACCAACACCACAACACCAAAACAACAAAAAGGCCTGCTTCCATGCCAAACAAAGCCCTACAATTTCTACCCATTAAACAACTCTTGCAATCTAACCATTCCCTTTGAAAAAAAACAGACGCAAAAAACACTTTGCTACTCTCTACTTTCACTTTTTGAAACTGTGAATGTTTCATTACTATGTTGGTTATACCAATAACAATCATAGGTTGGAGTGTCAACTATGTCAAGCATAACTGAAGCGAAAACATGTAACTTACTGTATAGGATATTGCTTTCTGTCTTCATGAACTGGAGTTTAAGCTTGGAGGAAACAGCAATTCAAAGAGCAGTAACAATCCCACTATCAACGCTCCAGGCCGTAGAGTGAAAGGCAGAAAACCATATTCATTAAACATGTGTTCCCCCAGAATTTTGAATCACGAGCGACCGTTAAAGAGCCAAAAAAACACAGTAGAGAAGAAAATCCAGAGGCGGTTCTTCTGATCAGATGCAACCTGCAAACTGAGCCACTCACTCTTGTTATGTTTTTTTTCCTTCTTAAAAAAATAAAAACTCCTGGACCACACAATTCGATCCACAATTCTCCCACTTTTTTTCCTTTTTGAGGGGGAAAAATAAACAACTCAACGGGCGGAAAAACCCCACGCCATTTATATGTTCTCCAGATTTCTGTTGTTTTTCCCTCTCTCTCTCTCTACTTTTTCCAGAGTTCCTTTGTTTCTTTCTCTCTCTCTTTCTTGGCCTCTGCGGTCTCTATGCTTTCCATTGCTTTATTCGGGTCGATTACAGTCGCGGACGTGGCTTAACTAAGTCCACCACCTTGAAAGGACAAGTAATATTAAAGTTGATGTGGACCCGGATTGCACCAAAAGCATATTGTTGCTTACGTACATTAGGTCAAAATCCAGTTAATCCAAGTTTACACAAATCAAGAGCTCAAACCCCATTAAAGTAATAATAAAATAATAAACCTTTCAAATAAACCTTCATCTAAGCATTCACAAAACAATAAATTTTCAAATGCCTTATAATGTTTAAAAACTAGTATGGCAGTGCACATGTTCAATTTGATAATCTAAAATGGGTACACTCAGCATATTATAATAAAAGATAAAATATAAAATATTCAGAGGGATTATTTTTGTATTGACTACCGAACTCGATAAAGAAATGTGTGTTAGTTTTATTTTTCTCAAGAAGTTGGGTAGAAGTGTAGATTCGAATAAAATTTGAAACCGGACACATTCTTTCAATGCATAGAAAGACCACGTGAGTGTTTCCGTTGCATAACATTCAAAAGCACCACGCCTTTTTCTTGGATTTCCCACTTAAAGAAAACCCATCTTCTTCTCCCCATCCCAATCTTCGGCTTCATCAGAAATAGATCTCTATCTACTGTCCATAACCCCAGTGTCCAGCACAAATTCTCTCTCTCCACCCTGTGACCTAAATCCCCCTCTCTCTCTCTCTCTCTCCATGGTACCATCTCTCCCAGCGTATAAAATCTCGCGCAAGCCAGGACTCGCCACCCTTGGATGGTTTGACTAAGCGATCTTAAAAACAAAATTCTAAAATCTATAAAAATAATATATTATTTTTAAATTATTAAAATCTATAAAAATTAAAAAATTATTTTAATATATTTTCATATTTTCTATAAAAAAATATTTTGGCCATGTATACTTATTTTTATATTTTTCCTTTTTAAAAAATTATTTCTAGAATACCCCCTCTTAATTTTTTAAGATCCATTTTCCACTATTTTTTTAAAACTTATTTAGATGTATTTTGTTTAATTTTACTTTAATAATATTTTTCCTCTTTTTTTTGGTAAATTTTTATATTTTTAACTTTTTTATACTTTTTAGTTTATCAAGAGACAAGGTTGTTTCGTGTTGGAAAACCCTCAAATCGATCATCTTGGCCTTGAGATTTATAAACATGGAAAAAGAGAGATTTCTAATAAAAAAAATAGTTCACCTTCTAACACGCTATCTGGACCGTCCATTTTCAAGATTTACCAGATTGATCGTTCCCATTTCCGGAACTTAGAACTTTATATAATTGGGAAGAAGCAATAGATTTTCATATCATCTCAAGGCTAGGCTTTGTGGCAGCAAAAAAAGTATTTTCATCATAGTTCGTACTTCAATAGTATACGGTTGACACCTTATACAAACCTCACGCTAGATTGTCTCATGAGTCAAAATAACGAAACAATGGAACTTCTCTCCCAACCACACATACAATACACCGTATCTCGTTATCCTGATCAACAGCGTTCTCTTCCCTCCTATATCTCTCTACGGTCCCATCTCTAGTAATTATGATAAAAGGACATGGAACGATCTACTCAACGTTAAATTTGATCTCCGCTGCGATATATTTTGAGGTTTCGTGAGTCTTACTCTTTACGAATTCATTACTCAGACGATCAGATGTTTCATTTTCGAGCTAAATAAAATCTATTAAATTTTCGAGCTAAATGAAATCTTTCATTTAATGGATGTGTGTTTATTTCATCTCATATTCAAGCTAAATAAAATCTTTCATTTAATAAATGTATGTTTATTTCATCTCATATTTCTCTTCGGTTATTTAATGGATGTACTAAAACAGGCACCCAATAATTTAATTCCTTTACAGCATCCTTCCATAAGAAACTGCAAGCTTTCTTAACTACAAAACCCAAAAAAAATTGCAACTTGTTTTTGTGAAACTTGCATGCAATAATATTTGATAAAATAAAAATAAGTTCAGAAAAGTATAGAATTTTACAAGAAAAAATGAGCAGTGAATGAAATACATTAAGCTTTGGGTTAGGGAAATGAAAGTAAAGTAATATATGTTCAAAAAACAAAAAAATGAAAGTAAAGTAATACAGTAATGACAGGTAATATGAGTCTTAAACAAACTAAATTTGAACAGCGTATGGAGAAATTATTTCGGGTAAGTTCGTATTTTAGGTAATTGTTTTAAGTCCGTGTGTAATTTATTTTTTTGTTTTTTACAGGTGTTCATCCATTCAGATTTTAAAATTCTGTATCTTTTTGAGCAATACTCAAACGCTCTTTGTTTACTCGATAACGAAAGATCCGTCGATCAAAACCACGAACCCTAATTCAGAAAATACCTCCTTCCAGCTTTGAATTGCAAAAGCAATGAAATATATCGCATTTATCTGACTAAGAATTTAAAATCATCTAAATCTCTGACGCTCGCATCTGATTTTAAGGCAATCCACGCTCAATAATAGATAAAAGCCCAAAAAATAGTGATATGGAGACGCGATTAAAGAACAGGGCAAGCAAGCCTCATCGATCGCCATTAAAGAACAGAGACAAAAGAAGATGCCAAATACAGAGAGAGAGAGAGTGGAATGCACGATCTTCTTACATGGTGTTTAGAGAAATAGAAGAGAGAGATAGGTAGCAAGCATGACACACTTACTGGTGTGAATGGAGATCTCCTGGCTGAATCGCTCCTACGTTGCATGAGCTGGGTCGACGACCATGGCTGGCATCACGTGAAGGTGGAAATTAGGGTTTTCTCGAGGTTAAACCGAAGGTCTCGAGCTCTCTGTCACTTGGAAAAAGCAAACTGTAAAAAAATGACAAACAACGGCGGCCTCATAGCAGCATTTATGTGGTAGGGTTTCGCTTATTCCCGACGTCGTCACGCCTGAAAAAACAAATTGGGGCTCCGGCGGGAGGTCTCGAAATGACGGAAAAGGTCCCTATCAAACCACAGATATGACGGTGGTGGCCGCATGGGTGTATAATGAGTCCTTAACTCACTGGGGGTAATTAGCGAAATTTCGTAGAATTTCGGGGAGATATAGTTTTTGGTCGCCGGAGAGAGTGAAATACCGGTTGACTTTGTTAGAACTTGTGTTTGGAATCATGGGATAAGGACCCGATGCAAGTGAAATAATATTATGCACGAGACCACGTGGCGGTAGAGGACGTGAGACTACTAAATAATAGTATTTTGACTTTCAGAGCTTTATAATATAAAGGAGGACCCGGTTTCTATACAAACCCGCGTATAGAAATAGATCTATTTTTTAGATGGATTTTAAGATTTAATTTTTAAAGGTTTTATATCCGCCTCTTAATAAATCTATTCTTGAGATGGATTTCAAGGTTTATTTTTTAAATATATGTAATTTTTAACATAAAGATCATAAATATGAAAAAATAAATAAATTTTAAAAATTAAAAATAACAATTTTAATAGTAAAACATTTGGATTTTTATTGTTTTTAGATAGAACATCTATCTTTAAAATGGATGTTTTACTCATTTTGGACCGTACACGTAAAAGTGCGGCCCAGTCCGCATGAAACAATTTTCTTATGAAGAATATTTTTTGAGAGCTGTGATTAAATAAAAAATAATTAAGATTTAGTCAAGTGTGAAAAGAATACACGCTGAAACAAAATTTATGAAAATATTTAGGAAGAGACCATTTACTCTAAAAATAAATAAACAAATCATTTACCTTTTGTACTTACTTTGTGATATAAGTCATGAACCTTTTTGTTAATCAAATTTTAAATTTGAGAATCGTGAGTTTGTCATTCACTAGATTCAAAGTTCAAAAACAAAATTGAACTTTATGATACACCCAAGCCATCGAATTTGACATTCAATTCAATGACTAGTGACAATTGTAATCCCCTTGTAACAAAGATAAATAGTCTCATAGTATACAATCCTTTGAAATAAAATATGGCGAATTTTGACGATCTTTAGACCTAGGCTGCTCAACACCACCAGCTAGCTCGTCAATTTTTGAAACACGGTACTAATAACTCCTTCATCAAATTAATGTTTTTAAGCTATGCATTTCGGCACTTAAGTGTCGAACCACACCATAACATCCCATGTTTGATGCTTATCCATGTCTAAAAAATTAGCAAAAAGGAAAAATTGGAGCATCTACGAGATCTAATATTCGAATCTCATCAATGACTAACCAAAAAAATACAAAATGTATGAACTAAAAAAATGGAGGATGCTTTTAAAAAGTCTCGAACGGGGGATTATAATTTTCTCATTTCATTTTTTTTTTTTTTTCTTGTAGAGAGTTTCTTAGTTTTAATTTTTTTTAGATGCCATTTTCCATTATTTTCTATTTTTTTACTTTTTTTATTAAACTTTTTTGGTGATAGCTGCCATTATGGCAACAACAACAACGACTATCACAACCCCTGAGGGTGATTTTTTCATGTAGAATTCAAACTTCAATTCATGTGTGGATGTCACTGACCCTTCATATTTACTAGCGAGTGGCACGATGTTCCAACTGATACATTGGATAAAAATTAGGGATTGTATAATATAAGATTATTCATTTATGTAAAGTCACAATTGCTCTTAGCCATCAGATGTCAAAATTGGTGACTTGGGGCATGTCATGAAGATTGAGATTGTTTTTTGAACTTTGAGTTTAATCGATGATACTCTTACAACCACCCGATTTGAAATTTGACTACTAAGAGTAATTGTAACCTCTTTGTACAAAAAACAAATAGTCTCTTTTGTATACTTTTCTTTTTTTTGTATACTTTTCTTTTTTTTCAATATAAAAGAATCCAGTAGAATTGAAGAACCAAATCGAGAACTAGTTGAGTCGGCTCAATTTGGCTTGTGACCAATTCAGCCCATTGATTCACTTTTTAAGATTGGTCTAACTGGTAAACGAGGTGGATTGTGTTAAGTAAACGGCCAACGTAAAACTTTGTCGAAACTTTCCATTCACCTTTTAAAACACTGAACCTTCCAAAAACCAAATAATTAATTGTGTAAAAAATGGATTTTTCCAAATATCTAAGAGGATTGTGTAATTTTGCACTATTTATTAGAATATATTGCATATATAAATTCCAATACTTTATTTATTTATTTATTTTACTTGTGTTTTTATATTTCATTTTTTTCAAGGAATTATTATTCCTAAGCAAGCCCCTGAGAGGGCTTAGTTGATCCATGATTGATGTTTCATCACTTCTTTTTTTTTTTTTGTTTTCGTAGAAACATATCAATCATTCCTAAATCTTTATTTTTCTATCAATTATTTTTTCCGAGCGAGATGTATGGATCTATATATATATATATTCATGGATTAACGAAAATGTGCAGACCAAGATGAAGTTGTTAAGATATAGATATCTCGTATTAGTATTATGTTAGAATATGGATATCTCATGTTAGTATTAATTAATACTTCATTACTGATACATATCACTATATCTCTTGATAAGATTAGGTGGTGTCTATCTATAACCATTGATATTTATCTTTAACTGTTACTGACCGTATATTTATACGGAGTCTTGTATATTATTGAGTAATTAATAAAGAGAGAATTCTCTGCAGTATTATGAAATAATCTTCTATGGGGGCCTAAAGTCCAAATATACATAAATACAATTTCAAACATGGTATCGAAGCAAGGTTCACGATTTAGTATTTCGTCTCTCAAACATCGAGCCTTTGTTTCCAGTTTCCCTTATTGATGAAGCCTTCAATTTTATTGCGACTCTCTATCTAACAGCTGCCACACCCTCTCTCATGTTGTCAAGTCTTGTTTCATATACGTTCCTAAAATTTCAATCACCGCCTTTCAATACCAACACCGTCTTTTTGTTGCACCACCTACAAAGACTTGGAGCCGCTTCTGAAGTAGGGTAAGAGGCTCTTGCTTATCTTTTACAGTTCTCAAGCTCTTGGTGGCCACTAGAATGCCCACAAGAGAGAGAGAGAGAACGCTCTTCGAGGCCCATGCCCAGTTTTTGGACTCACAGCCCCTGTTTTGGGTATATAGGACGACTATATGATACACAAGTCGTGTATGGTTCAGCTTATGTTGAAAAGGTCGTGTATGGTGGGGCGGCAGGGGTGGTTGATGGAGTAACGGCCGGTGATCGGGAGGCTTTTCTCTGTAGAAGGCAGCCGTGCAAGGGGGACGTAGCCAGATTTGGTGGAGAGTTCGGGCGCTATGTGGTGATTCGGAGGATGTTGCTCGGGTATTTTGGGGAGCAAGAGTGAAGCGTCCGAGTGTAGCACCTCATCTCGTTCTTGCTCATTCGAGTTCGGGCGCTATGTGGCGATTCGGAGGATGTTGCCCATGTATTTTGGGGAGCGAGAGTGAAGCATCTGAATGTAGCACCTCATCCCATTCTTGCTCCTTCCTTCTTTGTTTCTCTCTCTAAAAAATGTTCTATGCTCATTCCCTGGCTTTCCTTTCTTAATCAGTGCAATATCCCTTGAATAGTCTAGGTGCCCTTGCCTTTTTTAATGGTTGAATACAACTTGCAAAAGTCATGCACTTGCCTTTTTTAATGGTTGAATACTACTTGCAAAAGTCATACACTTCGGAAAGATTTTGTTGTAAGCCTTTTTTATTACCCTCTTTGCAAAAGTGACAATGCACCAATAAGCACATGTGACCGACCTCTGTTTTCAGTTGTTATGATCCATGAAACCCTCAATCTGATTGCACCTCTATGTTCATTTGGCATCAAAACTCGGGTACCATTGCTGCCATGCTACCCTCTAATGCCGGACTGTTTGAGCATGGCCTCTGAAAACGGCCGATCTGCCCCATCAACAGCTACCACATCATGTTATCGACTCTCTGATTTGTTTTTGGCCTCTGAAAACGGCCGATCTGCCCCATCAACAGCTACCACATCATGTTATCGACTCTCTGATTTGTTTTGGATCATACTGCTCTGAACTTCGAATCTAAGGTCCAACTGTGCTTGTTGATCTGCCACTAATTCTTGTTGGCTCTTTCAAGTACCTCCTGTTTGATGATTGAATTTCTCGATCTTATTTTATAATCAAGTTATCCGTTACTTGATCATGTTTAATTATTGATTTTTTAGTTACTCAATCCTATTGGATTATGGAATTTTCTACTACTCCATGTTTGATGATCGTGTTTTCCGTTACTCGATACTGTTTGATGATCATATTTTCCGTTATTTGATCTTGTCTGATGATCAAGTTTTTCATTACTCGATCCCATTTATTCATGAGGCCATCTGTTATGTTATTGATCTTGCTGTTGATCGAGTTTTTCATTACTCAATTCAGGGTGTTCCTGAGGCTGTCTGTTCTGCTACGGTTTTTTTATGCTTGTTGTTCAAGCAATTGTGCTTGTTGGTCAAGCAATATGTGCTTATTGTCCAAGCAATCTGAAGATCACTACTAGTTTTAGGTAACTTTAATATTGTTCAAACTCTAACTGCTGTAACTTTAATATTGTTCAAACTCCAACTGCTTTGTATCAAAGTATCTTGAGTTTGAGGGGGAGTGTTTGAATATGGATATCGTTAATTAGTAATAATTAACATTTCATTACTGATACATATCAGTATATCTCTTGATAAGATTAGGATATGTATCATACTGATACATATTAGTAAGTACGGATATTCATCCGTATGGATACATATCTCTTGATAAGATTAGGTGATGTCTATCTATAACCATTGATATTTATCTTTAACTGTTACTAGTCGTATATTTATATGGAGTCTTGTATATTCTTGATTAATCAATAAAA